TAATTATAAGAATCCAGCACTTACCAAAGACTAATATAAATGATGTATTGAGAGAAACAACCCAGAAGACATGTTCCTAAAAACATAACAACATATGTTATGAATTTCAAGTGATAAAAATTACAGCCACACATACTTACAGGGCGATAGCATAGTGGCTTGAGCCTCGTTCTAAAGCACTAGCCACAAAAACATTTAAACTGGTAAATACTCACCAGAAACACCAATGAGCCATCTAAACCAAGCATCTGAAAACATGTTGAAAACAAATTAGTTCTGGATTCAGTCTTTTAAATAACTGTTCAATTTATAAAAACTTTACTACAATTATATTAAAATGAATCAATGTTTACAGCAATTCCCCCACCCCACCCTCAATACAATATTCAACTGAATATTCATTGTTGATAGACAACCATTTAGATAATTGGTTGTGACAATTTAGATCACAATGCCACAGTGCAAAACCAACAACAAATTTTGATAAACAGTCCAAACAGTTTATAATATAAATTCAATTGGCAGAATTAAATCATCAATCTCAAGTTTTGAGAATGCTATAAAAAAGGATAGGTAATACATGTATGGATGAAGGGACATGGTCCACCAGCATTCAATGCGGTCGTATTTTAGATTTTTCATATACATTGTATGGAAAATTAGGCGACTTCGAATATCCATTCGCAATCTGTTTCTATCCATCGGTTCAAAGCTTTAAATTAATTACTTATAAACAATAATTAAATAATGCAAATAAACTCACTCTTTCCCAGGTCAGTTCTTCAGCTGCTCTTTCCCACTCCACGGGATTCCAATTGTTCTCATCTAAAAACAAAACACTCACAGTTGGCTGCAAAACATCTGACATAATAAAAAATACTGCTCAATTTATCACAGCAAGAGAATTTCAAATTCTTGTCAACTTTTGACTGTACCATTATTAACAACTGCATTATCCATCGCTTGATTAGCGTCATTGTCATCATCATCAATATCTTCGGCATTTGCTTGTACTCCAGCTTCTGCTTGATCGGGATTTGCACCATTTTGATCACCGTCTTCACCTGCCTGATCTCCCTACAGCCAAAAATAATAAATATTATATCATAAACAATAATTGTACAT